AATTTAAATTAAATAATTTTCTCAATTTACAATAAAAGCATAATTATCTCGAACATTCGCCTTGTCAGCTATTTATAAACTGTAGGAAAATAGTGGAGGACTATATATAGCATCGAAAAGATATTATGATTCAGAACACATTCTTTTAAACATAGGTTATGAGTCCGCCTACTCTTTGGCAACGAATTCATATGAAAATGACATAAATCTTTTCACAAGTAATCTACTTAACTTTTTTTTCGTTGTAATGCGACTTTAAATACGTGTGGCGTGAAAACTTTTACCAAAATAGCGAATATCAATTGCGGCACTGATGGCCACTTAACGGTGATTGAGAGTCTGAAAGAGGGCGATGATAAGTGGCCATAAAATTACCTCAATTACAGGGTGCAAAAAAAATGTCATACAAGTTTATGACAACTGCAACCAACAATAAGTCAAATCAAGAGGAAGAACCGTTCAAGTATCAAAAGCGCGAAAGGCAAACGCAATGCGCATTTGTGGCTGTGGGGAATGGTATAAAATGTTTTATGGAAGTTGAAATTTACGTGAGGAAGCCAGTGTGAGAGACAAGGTGAGATAAGTTTTTACTATGGCGTTTGACATTTTATGGCAGAGAAATTTTTATTACATTAATTTCTTTGGCTACGAATATGAAAAAAATAAACACTTGCAAGTGTGTAGGTGCAGATGTGCATATGTATGTAAGTGTATGCTAACAGCAGTATTTTTCGCTGAGAGTAGAGGGGTGTTTATGGCCTTAACGATGGATATAAAGAAAAAATGTCGGAAAAAAGCACACATACTACATATACATACATACGTATTTAATCGAATTCCTTTCTCATTCTTTTACATTTGAGGTGCAAAGTATGTTAATAAGCTTCCCGGTGCTTGTTTACATACGCTGAGTGCGACTTTGTAGTTTAAATATATCCTGTAAATGAAAATGGCCATAAGTCATATTCATTTGTGAAAGTTCTAATACTCGAGGTTACAAAAGCACCATAGCAGCAAAAATATTGTAATTTATTTGGGTTTTCACGCAGCTGTAAATCCTCATTCATCAAAATCGAAACTTTTACTTAAATATTTGCGACGTTACGCATACGCCCGAACATAAAAAGTTTCTGAGGTCAATGACTTCAACTGTATGTATTTTATTTTGTTTTCATTGTAGCAATTAGGTTGTCGGCATGGTATCTTTGCCTCCTTATTAAGTAACACGAAATAAATCGTTTATCGAAAGGAAAGTTGTGCGAAGTGTTACAATACAACTTTTATCGCTGTTACGAGTATATATGTATGGCACATATATATGTAAGTATATATGTGTTTTTATGTGTATAAATGTACCAAATTTTTCCATCGCCGGCTTATAGATTTTAGTCACATTTAATCTTCGAAGCAGAGACCACTCACTGCAATTTATCTACATAGAGTTTTCTTAAATCAGGAAGCGCATTGAAAAAACTGTCTTTAAGTTTATACCCGGCGTACTTCACTGCGCCTTAAAAGTATTTTTGTGCTGTTTGACACCCGTATTGTAGCATTTCATTTATTTTAACAATTTAATTTAATAAAATCTTTCAAACAGGTGGCAACCCTCCTCAAACATATTACCGGCAGTAATCTTTCCTAAACCTCTTCAGTTGGATACCCATATTGCAATATTCAATTTGTATTATAAATTAAATTAAATTCGAATTTCCAAATAGGTGGCAACCTTCAACAAAAACTATTTGCGGCTGTAAGCCTTCTAACAATTCTAAAACAAATGTTTATTTGGCTTCTGTAGTTCTAATAAAGACACCCCATATTATTTTTTCTTTAATATCTATAATGTACAGACATCGGCCTGCTACAATTTTATTATATGTATAAAGAAGTAGCTGGCTTGAGGCACAGTAGGTATGTATTTGAATTATAGGGGATTTATAACTCCGAACAACTAACCACAAACATGGGAAACAAAAATTAAGAAAAATACAAAATAATATACTAAAATAAAATATAAAGTTAATTAACATAAAGCAAAATACAAGAAAATTAGCTAAATAAAATAACGATAAAAGAAAGTAAACAAAATAAATAATGTATGAATATAAATATTAAACAGCCACAGAAAAAAGTGTCGGAGTTCGAGAATCAGACTATTCTTTCCTCATTTATTTTGATGCACTGAACCATGAATATGAAGTCCGTTGTGCTCCACTCGTTAGAAGTTTTTCTTAACCTAAGATTTTCAGAATAAGTTATTTAAGGAAGAAGTATTTACCACAAAGCGCAAGGGTGACGGCAGAGTGATGGTTTTATGCTTCAGAGCCATAACATGCTATAAATCTTATTCTATGTTTTCCTATGATTTGCTCAAAATATGTCAAAAGATAGAAGTGGCAATAAAATTGGTTTTAAATAGTTCTACTGAAATAATCAAAATATGTATTTCCTAAGAAAAGCGAGCCTTAAATTACTGATATACGTTAGAGTAGCAGGAACTGAGAACTGAACTAGAACCGGAGTATTTCAAGTCAAAATTTTTTTTTTTAGAATTTTTTTTTGTGCAAGGTGCTGCGGATTTTTTTTCTTATAAAAAAAATTTTATCATGTGTTATATGGAAGAAAATGCGCAACACCCTGCACAAAAAAAATCTAAAAAATCAAGGGTAATTTTTAACGATTTGAGGCTTGCACTTTCTTAGACTACAATTGAATGGGCTACAGAACTGCATACCCGAAACTTTTCTATATATTCTGATTAAAAATTTGGAAATTTTGTTGACAATTTTTTGAAGCTTGATTAATTTCTTTTGCAATTTTTGCAAGCTTTGAAACTTTTATTATTGTGGTTTTTGTTACAGATTGAACTAAATATCAAACACTATCATTTCGAATTACGTTTCTAATTAGTTGAACGCAGGTGTAAGTATATAGACGATACTTGGATATGGCTTTTGACAACGTTGACCGAATTCTACAAATCTTCTTTATTGGAAATGAGATACCTTGGAGGTGTTAATTTGATTTAGTTCTAATATTTGGATCATGGACAAAAATACGGTACACAACGAATAACATAATGGGTATGTCTTTGTTATATAAGCAATGGTTTTTTTTGCTTAAAATTACTTGTATCTTCCCCTTTTTTCTTAATCTAATTTTCACAAATCTCATTTAAAGTAGGTGTTAAAAATCATACGGCGAAAAATGGGTTCATTATTTAAAGGAATTAGCAGTGCAAAAATATGTATTATTACAGATGGCGCTTCCCGTATATACATATGTATATGCTTAGTGCTTGAAAGTGCTACTCCTCCGATTTGTGGCGTACGCCTTGATGTTCTGCATTACTCCTGCATTGCTTTTCACTTATGTAGTTTCAAGTAAGCATTTTGTAGTAAACTGCAAGTTATATATTTAATAGAAATTCCGCAAAAAAGCTACCTACAAGTTGGTTATTTTTTATCAATTGATAATTTTTTTCACCAGGGAAGGCACTTTAATTTACCTATACATAAGTATATACACACATATGTATGTGTATGCAAGTGGCTTCGGCAGTCTGTGACTCATGTGCATTACCATATTTTAAAATATTGCCAGCTTTGCCAGTTGACTTCGCCCATTTCGGGTTTCCAAAGTTGATTTTCTGACATATTTAATTTTTTTTGCACTAAACCCAAAAACACATATGGTAACTTGTCTAACAAAAATGTGCCATCGGTTAATAAATACATACGCAAAATTCTATGCCAAATCCCTTTAAGGTCATTTACCATTTAAGGTCATTTACCATATGCGATGCGATAAAAAAATGTAAATGGAGGAAGAAACTTATTACCAACACGATTACTAAATTATTCGTTAACCAGACACGACATGTCGAATGATGCTCAACGTGAAACAGCGCATAGCTTTTCTCCTATTTTCTGTGCATATAACCGATGATACATCAGTGTCAAAGACGACACAAAAAATGACAAAACAATTTTAGCAAAATAATAAAAATATCTGTATATGAGTATTTATTGCAAATGACAAAAAAGATAATATCTATGTATGTACAATATGTGTTGTGTTGTGTGTACATAAGTATGTATATATGTATGTACATAGTTATAGTTACAAATATGGTACAAACAAGCGAGCCACTATTGTGCTCCTTTATACAAACGTATATTTATTTATGTAAACATATGTATTTATATAAAAAGAAATGGCTGTCTAAAGCTAGGATAAAATTTCACAAATGACACAAATTAATGGTTTGGGATTTGTTTACGCTCTTCTATGCGTTCATATTGTAGTTTCATTGTTCCGACTTTAAGTGATTTTCATAATTCCTTTTATAAAGTATGGTATATACAATACATGCATACATACATATACGCGCATATATGTATGTACATTAGGGTGGCCCAAAAATACATAGGAAAATCAACTTTTTTGACTTTTCCTGCTGCCACCCCCGAAAACGCAAGAATATCAAAAATAAGGAGACACGTATTTTTTTATTTTGAAATCCGTGCCGCCGTATTTTATATGGGGAAAATACATTTTTTCGTAGAATTGCTATAAAATCGTTAAAAATAATTACTTTTTGGTCGAATAAGACTATCATAGTGTTATGATGCTTATTTGACTTAAAAATTAAAAAAAAAAAATTAAATGGAGTGCGATATATCGTCGCTACCATGTCAAACTATCGAATGTGTAAAAATGCATATTGCATCATTTCACTTCACCTACATACTTAACTCATCTCAGTTAACAGATGGGTGGCAATCATATTTAAAAACATGTTAGTCCAAAGCTTATGCGCACACCCGTCGTGTGATACCTATATTGTGGTATTAAATAAGCTTAAATTTTTAATGACTGTTCCATTTTTTTTTTAAGTTGTCTACCTAGTTAAAAAAAATTTAAATATCTTCGAAGGCTTTTAGTTTTGATGAAGAAACTTAAATATTTTATTGACCTTTAAATAATTTTATATTAACAAATATCTGGCAACCCTATTCTTCAAAATTGTTTGCGATAAACCTACAGAAAACATCGAGTAGAATGCAAAAAAAAATTAAACACATCCATTGAGCTGTTCGTGCGTGATGTGGCTATGAATACATAAAACAACTAATTTTTGTATATGCATAACAGTTAGAATTATCGGTTATTAAAACACATTAAGTAAATTTTTTAAGTTAAATAAGCATTATAGTGTTATTTTTTTAGACTACTGAAGGGAAATACTTAGTCTTGTTAGATCAAAAAATATTTATTTTCAACGATTTTATAGCAATTTTACGAAAAAGTGTACTTTCCCTATGTAAAATATATGGGAAACTTCTAAGCCCCGGCGGCACGGGTAAATATTAATCGATTTCAAAATAAAAAATAGGTGTCTCCTTATTTTTGATATTCTTCAGATCTGGGGGTGGCGGGAGGAAAAAAATTTGGGCCACCCTAATGTACATCCACATCTTCTGCTTAGTACTTAATTGGTGTTCGCAGTAGATATTTGAATGCCTCCGTGAAGTCAAGTGGATTTCAATGGATTTCAATAGCTTACAATATTGTATAGAAATATATGAATGTTAGTATATACAAAGGTGTGTGCGTGTGCATGAGTGCTTGTATTTGGCAGTGACAGGAAAAACGATTATGTCCAAAAAACATCATCGAGTTAGCAAAAGCAGCAAAAGTGGTTAGTTGTACATTGGCTCGATTTAGAAGTGCAGGTTGAGTGAGAACGCAAGCTGTTATTGTATTTTTTTTTTTTTGTTCTCAGTATTTAGTAAACTAAAACGGTGTCGAAGCATAGTGACATCATCGATGACTACTGCAAACATCTTGGTGGAATGGAAGTAGCAGGCAATGCACTTAAAAATATGAACACCTCCACGAAAAAATCCGGATGAACGCAAAACGTCATCTAAAACGCTGTCTGTCTTTCTCATCGTTCGTTGCTAAAGCTGCCTTCACTGTTTGTGTTACTGCTTTTAATTGTTGTTGTTGTTGTTGTTATTACTGTAGAAATAGTAGTAGCAAATGTCGTCCCAACCATAGCCATGGCCCCTGCGCGCGCCAACTGTCATCGATGTCATCTTCAATTGCTTTCGATGCCCTTGACTTTGGCTTTATTGGTGTCGTTATGTTTCTTTTTGACTGCAAATAGACCAAAAATGTAAAAGTCAAGCTGGACTATGAACTGAAGTATGGCGCAAATGAAATATGAAAAACAAAAAACAAAACGGGTATCACCACGAAAAAAATTGACTTCCAAAGCATGTTTTTTATGCCTACATACAAACACACAAAAACACTAAAAAAGAGCACTTAAATGCAACTTGTACAAACTTTAACGTCAAAGTCATTAAATGAATGCGCAAAAAGAAAAACAAATACTAATCTCACGTTATCTACACGAAACCTGTATTCAGCAAAATTTTGACTAAATATCGAACTGGCATGTAGTTCGGTAACAAATTGAAGCAATTGTGTGGCATGGTAAACCTGTTTAACTTTTGATTTCTGCAGCAATGCAGCCGGTGATAAACTTTTTTATTTTATTTTATTTTATTGCTTTATTTTAACAATACTTTGCAAATTCGTATCTTCTTGGATTTTATATTTCTATTCTTTATTGTTTTTTTTTCTAGTATAATCACGAGCAGACACTGCGTGGGCACAAGTACCATACATACAGCAATTTTAAATGTCACGCATACGCCCTGACGTCAACCCAACCCCAGCTCTGTCGTTGTGTACTTGAAACTTATAGCTCAAATTAAAGAAGCACATTTTGATATCTAAACTTTACTGCATACACACTTCTTCTTCATAGTCAATTTATTTTGTTACCCATAACTTTATCATCGTCTATGTATTCTATTACATAGCAACACTTGACTGCTTTGTTTTTGTGTTTTTTATTCACTTCTAACTAATACACTCACTTGTTATGAGCGTATCGGGATCAGCTAACTCAGCATCGTCTACATCAGGTTGTTGTTGTTGCTTTAAATGCTGTTTGAGTTGCACCTTCTTACGCAGTTTCTTCAGATAGGCCTGCTTGTACTCCTCACTGGGCTTGCCGCCAAGTCCATAGCTGACCTCGAGCACCGTGAGCGGTATGACGGTCGAAGAAACGGGTACAAGATCTGCTTGGAAAGAAGTTTGAATCGAGATTATTTAGAAGCTGTTAATAATAGCACCAGTTTTTATTTTGTAGTTTCATGCGTAGTTCTTCGATTATTCTCACTTCGAATGTTTAAGTGCGAGCGAAAAAAACTATTTTGCATACACATAATTTAGACAATGTTTTTTCTTTTACTAAATAAGTAAGTATTTGATTTGAACTTATTTTAGCACATTATTCGACGCCAAAGAAATTACTTGAAATTGGTTAGTTGCAAATAACGGTATATTATCGATCACGCCATTATTACCAATCTCAGTTCTTGTCACTAGTTTTTGAGAAAGATGAGAATGAAAAAATAAAACTTATTTTAGTTGGAACTAAAAATGACGGCTGCCGCATCCAACTGGTGCTTGGTAATATATACGCCCAGGCTTATGCAGATGATGTGGCCTGGCTCTTAACATGCCTTCGTCGGTCAGTTCTTAGCAGGAAAGCGCAAAAATCACTGAACATAATTGACACTTGGCTTTAGTGAAAGTGAGTTGCACGCTAACCCAAGCAAAACTAGTGTTGTGCTCTTCACTGCAAAGGAAGGGTTGAAAGGCTTTGCTCTCCCCGCCCTTAAAGGAATCACTATTCAGATTTCTTCCGAAGTAAAATATTTCGGTTGAATAAAGTATCGCCAAAGCCTTAACAGCATTCTGGCAATGTAAGCGAATCTTTGGTGAAACGTAGGGTGTGTCATCTATAGGAATCCGGTGGATTTACATCGCTCGAGGAGACCCATAATCAGCTACGCATCAACGAACGATCCTGAACGGGAGCTTTTTTCTGGATGCAATGATAAACCTGTCGGCCGCTGTGGTGTAGTGGTAAGCAGTGCGCTGCCTGGGTTCAAACCCTGGTCAAAGCAATATCTCAAAAATATAGAAAAAGGTTTTTTCTTAACAGCGGTCGTCCCTCGGCAGGCAATGGCAAACCTCCGAGTGTATTTCTGCCATGAAAAACAGCTTCTCATAAAAATACAATCGCCGTTCGGAGTCGGCGTAAAACTGTAGGTCCCTCCGCTTTGTGTGACAACATCAAGGCGCACGCCACAAATCGGAGGAGAAGCTCGGCCAAACACTAACATATGTGTAAGCGCCAATCTATTATTATTATTATTATAATGATAAACCTGCCGTAATTTATCGAATACTTTCATACAAGGGGAGGTATTTAAGTCATAAATATTTAGATTTGAATGTCTTTTTGGCTTTGAGGCTGAATGTTGGCTTATCTGTTCTAGACTCAGGAACTGGAGTCTATATCGAAAGTAACGAGAACAATCATCTTCTCTCTTCTTCTTTATTGGCGCTGTAATCGCCTAAGCGATTTTAGCCGAGTCCAAAACAGCACGCCAATCGTTTCTTTTCTGTGTCAATTGTAAATGCCAAGTGAAGCCAAGTCCTTCTCGATCTGGTCTTTCCAACGCCTTCCTCTTCCTCTGTTACCAGCGACTCGCGGTGAATACTTTCAGAGTTGGAGCGTTGCTGGCCATTCGAACGTCATGACATAGCCTGCACACCCGATGAATTTTAAGAAAGCTACGCTATGTCTATATCGTTGTACAGCTCATACAATCTTCACTTCTTCGTATTTGAATCTGAGGTATTTGCAATCTTCAAGGCTATGGACATGGATTGAGAAAAAACGAACAACAAGGGTGAACGAATAGTCATGGAAAGTTGATTTTCCGTCATATTGACCAATGAATTGCTTGTTTTACCAGTGGAAAAGTACTTGGAAGGCCGGCAGTAGGACGCAGCTGAACACGTATGCATTCAATGCATATACTACGTTCGTAGCTATTCGGATTCAGTGATAGCATTTTCGTAAACTTCACGAAAAATCAGACTACTATGGATTTAGCGATAGTCCAGAATATTTATTTCGGTCCCTCCGATTAATATTTATTTCGGTGCATGCAGTGAGCCTTTTCTGGAGACCTCTTTTATTCTTACGACGGTATCAATATTGGGTTTAAAATTGGACCATCTCAAAAGATGAGCACTGCTTTAGAGATGGTATCCGCAAATTTTCTTATACTCGTAGATGGGCAAAAGTCATAGCTTACATTTAATATTTATTTTATTCACTTTTGTTTAAATAAAAGCTTTTAAAAATAGCAAGAGACCAGTTAAGCTCGATTTTAGAATTTGTATTTGTTTATATTAAATTTTTTTTAGTGCAAAGTGCAGAAACAAATTGCAATTTTGAAGACAATCGATTCTCCTGTTCCAATTAATAAATTAGAAATAATAAAACCCAGTTGGATACAATTTCAGGGCTCCCCTAAAACAGAAAAAATTTGAAATGTTATCTATAAAAAAAATACCGAAATTAAATTTTATTTTGAGTCTTTAGAAAAAATTTTGGGATGCGGTTTTATAGATCATAAAATTTTAGTATAGCAAGATGCAATTGGCTAAGAGTTCGTTTCTAAAAACTAAAAAAAAAATTGATTTTGGTGAAAATTTTTTATATCATTTAATTTTTTTATACCCGAGCGCACTTGTGCACAAGGGTATATTAATTTTGTTCACATAACGGTTGTTTGTAACAGCCAAAACGAATCGATATAGATATAGACAAATGTATACATAAATGATCAGGATGAAAAAAGAAATCGATTAAGCCATGTCTGTCTGTCCGTCCGTCTGTCCGTGTACACGATAACTCGAGCAAAAATTGAGATATCTCAACGAAATTTGGTATGTAGGTTTCCCTTAATCCAAGGTAGGTTGGTATTGA